TGGATATTTACGTATGTAGTTGTCCATATATGTTGACATTTGCCTTCTAAGTTTTTTATTAATGTTGTGTGAATTAAGTTGCGAAGTTGAGCTCTTTTCTTAAGTTTTCCCAACTTGTCCAGTAATATCACTTTCGTCAATTTTGTTGGGGGGAAACGGTGAACATAGAGCTGAATGTTAAATTTAACATAATATATAATTGTTTTAACAACTTTTTATTATTATTATTATTATTGTTGTTGTGGTTTTTAAACTACCATTAACAGGTCATGTTTTGGCCAAAACATTCTTGATCTCAATTCTCAAGGTGATGAATGTGGAAATATTTTATTCAATAGGTAATTTAGTTATTTTAATTTATTTTATTTTACTTCTCTTTCACTTTCCTTCTTGTTGCCATTCCATGTTAACCAGTGATTGATGTTACGAGCTGTATTTTCGTTTTTGTTCTCTTTGCTACGGTCTAATCTCCCCCTTATTATTGTTATCTTTATGATGACAGGTTTTGCGAATGCCCATAGCTTCTGTGCTCATGGATAAGGTCTGAATGTTTTTTGTTCATTGTTTCTTTGTGTGAGTTAGCTGCAAAGCGCTATTTGCTTTCACAGTGAGTAACTGACCGATTGATCTATGGCATGTCATCATTCGTTATTATCTTTTTTGTTTTTCCTACATTCGTATTTTTGTCATTTTTCGTACATATGTATTTTTTTTAGGACGGTGGTACATATAACGGTATCAAATTAGGTTCCGGCCAGGAGTTATTCAGCTCTCAACTGATTCTTGAACCGCATTACACAATCCCATCAACTTTAACTCCTGCTGAACAAGTGGCAGCTTCTCACGGTGCTAATCTCTCTGATACCAAAGAGAAAGTTGTCCGGGGAATATGCATTACCAAGAATTCATTATATCCAGGAGTTGCTAATTGCTTAGTGTTCTTCCCTCCCAGATGTATGCCTATTTGATTTTCTTCTTATGCCGAAACTTCTGCAGATAATCTTTGTCTCTGTCTCTGTCTCTGTCTCTGTCTCTGTCTCTCTCTCTCTCTCCATGTTTTTTTTCATTTATAATTTTTCTTGCACGGCAGCTTTGTATCCAGAGCAAATTACGACAGTCCGTGTACTCCAGTTAAGTAGCAACGTGGCTGCTTGCCCCTCAGGGATGTAAGTTTCATGCCACATATACCTTTATTCATCACTAAGAATTTAAGTCATAAACCTTCCCTTTCACTTTTGAAAACGAGCCATCATCTAATCCGAGCGTGAGGCTATATTTAACAATGCCAGGAACCTTTTTTTGGCTCGTTTAGAGTTTACTTTATCCCACATGTCAATGTTATTGTAATTCTTTCGTCGATCTACTGAAACTGTTCGAATATTGTTTGACATGCGTTCAATTACGTGCTTCATTATCAGGTTTGTGACTTATCTGTCAGCAAAGTGTGGTAATGCTGTAGAAGGGAAGAAATTACTAAATGAAGCCATAAATGCACTGTTCTGTGTGCCTTTATCAGGGAACTCTGAGAAGGAAAATTTACACGAGCATACTGTAGGAAAACCGTGTTTGCTTTGGAGCGTCCTGTATATACAAGAGCTAACTAAGGTCTTCATTTTTTTTTTTTTCCTGATTAGGAACAGAAATTTTTATTGATAAAATGAAAACAGAACACTTGTTTTTATTACTTTCAGTTTCAAGGTGCCTTTCAGTCCATCACCTACACGGCCATGCCAGACGAACATCTGCACTATAATGATCTCCTAAATGAAACCGAAAAGGTAAACAGTCTCCCATGATTCTGTAGTTATTCTTCTTATCGCTGCTCACTATTATCAGACCTTTTCTTTTTTCCTCTTTTCTTGTTCAGCTATTTCAAGAAATGTATCCCAATGAAGAATTTTTCCCAAAGCAATACCCAACTGAAGATGATATTTGTGATGATATTTGTGATGATGATGGTGGCTTGTAGAGAAATAAGAGCTGCTTTTTTTTTACTATGTTTAGTAAGGCTACTTTTGGACAGGGCTATCGATTAGACAATCATATTTTTCCAACAGATATGCATATATAATCAAATTGAAATATAATACTTTACGAAACAAACATTAACAAACAAAAGTACGAACATTTCACTACCCAATTATGCATTTCTATTACAAATACGCGATGGGTACGTTGTTTCACACAACATAAGACTATAAGAGGTAGATTTAGTTATTGTGGTCCTTTACAACTTTCAATCAATTATTAACTTGACACATGTCTTTAATCTATACTATTATAAAAGAGCCAATGAATCTGTAAAAATATGATATCTCTAAATTAACCTTACTTTGTCATGTTTATAATGTCAATTTTGTAATTTAATACTCCATTCTATACTAATATTTTTAATTAAACACATTCTAGATCTTGGGGTTTATGTATGTTGGTTTGGCCCAATTATCAATGCCGTCTATTTATTTAAATAAGATTTTCAATGATATTAAAATTTGAACAAACTTTTAAAAATTATCAAAATTTTAATTTTACATTTATTTAAATAAGATTTTCAATGATTAAAATTTGAACAAACTTTTAAAAATTATCAAAATGTTAAGTTAGTGTACAGAAAAAACAAAATTATGACATTACCTTACCAAATACTCATTTTTTTAAAATTTAG